AGAATTGGTGCACCATCAACGGGCAACTTATTGACTTTTAAGGATCTGTCACGAGCATCGTATCGGGCTTCCTTGGATGCCGGAGAGGAGTTTTCAATAGCAATTGGGCAAAGATTGTTATTCTGGGTCTTTAGATCTGACGACCAATGAACCTCCTTCAAAGAAGTGGTCTTCCTACGCTTGCAATGAGAGAAAGATCTGGAGGAGGAGGAGGAGGAGGAGACGTACTCCTTGAACTTCTGCTGATCGAACTCGTATTCAACCTCTTCATCCACAGGGATCTTGATCATTGGCTGTGACACGATAGCCTCGACAGCGAGGCTGTTGGCTCCCACTATGGTCGCCAGCGTGTTCTCGTCGAAAGTTAATTTCTTTGAGAAATTCATTGCAACTTCAAGAGTTTACAACGAATTCAAAAGAAGAGTCTTTTTATAAGATCTCTCTACACAAAGGAAACTGAAAAATTATAACTTTCTAGAAAACACACAAAGAGGTCTTTTATCGGTCTTCTACTTGCGTAAGATCTTTGTCGGTACCGAGGTTTATCCGTGGACCACCAAATGATTAGATACGATTGATTTTATTACCATGAGAAGGAGACAAGAAATTGAAGTTAATATCTCAGCAACTGTGAGATAAACACTCTTCTCGAGATCACAACAACGTTGCGATCTCAAGGGAAATAGATGAACGAGGCTAAAGAGATTACAGATCTATCGAACTCTCCTTCTTTTTGTCGACGAACTCACCAAGAATTTACTTCCTCCTTGCTAAAATTCATGCTCCCCACTCTCCAATTAGACAGGGCTTCGCCGTTGCTCCGAAATTCCCGATCCCTATGAATAAAGGCCCTAAGGCTGTATTTATAGGCTTCAGAAGCTATGTTTTCAGATAAGAACGAATGATTTGATCTTATCCTCAATTGTAATCACTTAATCACATTCAAAGATAACCTCAAATTAGTTGGAGAGGTTCTGGACTGAAGAAATCTCGAAATCTTATCAAAAAAAGGTTTTCGAGAGGTTGTACGGGCAAAAACAAGTTTTTTGGGTGTGAGACACGATTGGTGTCTCGGCCATGGGCTAAGACACTAATGGTGTCTCGGCCTTGGCTAAGACACCAGTAGTGTCTTGGCTATTGGTCGAGACGCCGTTTGACGTGTTTTGACTGTTTTGCCTCTAATTCTCATGTCTGGCCTCGGAAAGACGTGATTCAAAATGTGTTGGAATCCGGAGAAGAGGCTTACAATCTCCCATAGACGAAACACATGTGGAGTCAGCGAGACACGAGTAGTGCTCTGATGGTTTGGCCGCATGTGAGCAGCATTGACATCCCGAGAGGACCGCAAAAATCAATCGTTCACATTGGCACGAATGAGTGACCTGTTGTACCAGTCTTTCTCTTAATATGAACTCTCTCAAGTCTATTACAGAGACTCGGGATGAGTTACTCACTGAACATGAGCTTTGAATTAGAACCCCCTACCTATGATTGGGTGGAACTGACTCTTGGTGAACATGAATCTTGCTGAGATGCCTTGAATTTGTGGACTTCTTATGTCCACCTATCAGTCTAGTCACGCTATGAATAACCCAGTATGGGGGTCTCGCTGCTCGGTCAGTAAACTGGGGGTCTTAGGGGCAGCGTGCCCTTAGCTGGGAGGTCCGAGGGGAGTAGACGACCCCCTAGCGGGGTTCGAGGTAGTGCCCCGAAGGTCTACAGTATACATGAGGTCCTTTATTGGTTTTTATTACTGAGGCCCAAATCTGTTGTTTAGACAATTGAACGCAAGGGTCTCATTTGGGCAACTGAACGCGAGGGTCGTGCTTGAGCAACTAAATGTGAGGGTCGCGTTTGAGAGTGAGGATGCAAGGGTCGCGTGCAACCCCCTTCTGAACGTGAGGTTTGCATTTTGATTGAGTAACGCGAAGCTCAGGTTCACGTTCAACACCGACTCGAGGTCTGCGTTTTGTCTATGGAACGCGTCATTAAGGGTTGCATTTAGCCTGGTTTTCACGAGGGTCGTGTTTGGGCACATAAACGTGACGCTCGCATTCTAAAATAGAAGCGCAGAGCTCATGTTGAGGCTCACAAACACGGGCCTCGCGTTAGTTGGAGGATCGGCTTTCTCAGAGTTGTGCTCGTCGTAGAGACCTTCTCCTTCATCGAGCAACGTTCTTCTTAGGCTGATTTAAGACTTTTGTAGCGACATCACTATCTGTAGTGATCAAGTTAGTCACAACAATAGGCCTCTTATGACCGGATACCTTATGTTTGGGCACTGGTGTAAGGCTTCTAACTCGATTGACGAGTTGAATTGGAGCTGAATCTTCTCCTTCAGAGGAGGGGTTGTCCGAGCAGTCTAGCCCAAGGGAGAGATCCTTCTTTGGTGAGTCGGCCATAATTCGAGCTTTAGTCTCTTTAGAGAATTTGCGGATCTTGCGCATAGCCTTGGGGCTAAGGGATTCGGAGGAGAGTAACTCCTCATACTCGGCTTGATCGAACTCTACAACAAGAGTTTCAACCGTTGTTCTAGCGAGGTTGACGTCGGATTGCGCCACCACTTCTTCATCAGTTAAAAAGTTGGTCCCCAGCAGAGTCATCATCTTTTGTTTGTCGAAAAATATTTGTGAGAAAATTAAGAATAGAATTTTTATTAATCTCCCTAGCTGACATAGGAAAAGAATAAATACAATCTCTTGATGTAACCTCTCTATAACTGATTTAGAAAAAAATTATAGCTTTCTCTTTTCGGTTTCCTGATTACAAAAGAGAGAAAGAATCGACGAAGATCATTCCCTTTGTTTAAACCTGGGTTCTTCTTGGTAGTGATGTGAGTTTGAATCTTGTATCCGTTAACGATCCGAGCACCTTGCTTCGTGGAACGTAGTCTATTCCTCTTGACTTGACGTCGGGAAGAACTTGCGAGGCAAGTTTAGAACTGTAGAAGAGTTAAGAACTCTGAACGAGTTTAAGAACTCTATAAAAGAGTTAATTTCAAAAAGGAAAATGATCCTTTTAATCGAAATCAGAGAATAACTGATCTTTAGTTCTTCAACCGAAACTCGGCTCAAAAGCCAAGGTCGAAAAGCTCCAAAGATTCAACAAAAAGCCTTCACAAAATACTCCAAGGGTTCCTCAAGATTGCTCCATACCCCCCCCCCCCCCTAAATCACTCCTTAATGAGGGTTTAATACCCTTAATTCATGGAAAACGGTTTAAGTGGTTTAAGGGGTGTAACTGCCCCCTTAAATCACTTCTTAATGAGGGTTTGATGCCCTTAATTCGTGAAAAACGGTTTTCAAATCGTTTGAATGGGTCAAACACGAGATTCACATTCTGGAAATGACCCTTGTGTCTAGAACTGAAAACGCGGTAGTGAGCTCCGTGTATTGAGCTGAAAACGTTGTAGTGAGCTCCGCATCTTGATCTTGGAACACGGCGATGAGCTCCGCGTTTTGAACTCGGAACATGGTGGTGAACTCCGCGTTTTGAGCTTGGAACGCGATGGTGAGCTCCGCGTTTTGAGCTTAGAACGCGGTAGTGAGCTACGCGTTTTGAGCTTGGAATGCGGTGATGACTTCCGCGTGTTGCTTTGAAGAGATCATCAACTTGTAATCTCTTCTGTTAGAGTGTTGCAAGGATTGTCATCTTGTAATCCTGGTTTTTGGCTCTTTGAGATGTGAGAGTCGTCAGTTTGTAACTCTTGTTTGTTGTTGCGAAAGTTATCAGATTGTAACTTCTGTCATCAGTTGTTGTGAGAATCGTCAAATTATAACTCTCATTGATTGATGTGAAAGTTGTCACATCGTAACCTCCATCGTTTGTGGTTTGTGGGGATCAGCTATCCACAATAATTTTTAGACAGCCTACACCTAGGATCAGAGAAATAGGCCCAGACCACTCCTACCTGGGCGGAACCGAGTTAAACCCGGCTCGGTCTTGAACCTGGAGGGCCGGTTCACGGGCCTGAACCGGCCCGGCCCATGCCCAACCCTACACCTAAAGCCTTTCTCCAATTCTTTGACGTGTTTGTAGTGAAACAAACTGTTGAAATAAACGATTGACTATCCATTTTTGACATGACCTTTGATGCTTGAGGGTCCAATTATTGAAGGATATTGCCAAGCTAAATTGTTGTGTCAAATTTTATCGGTGACATATATCTATACAAAAATAGTAATAAGAAGTAAATTCTTTTTATTCATAAAATCATGAGATAAATTATGGACAAAGTTAAGTGTAAACTCTCTATTAAGTCATTGATCTTAGCATAAGAGGAAAAAGAAGACATAATGTTGTCTCATGATTGGGTCTTGAGTCAATTAAAATTGTTTCCTTTGCTGGATTGTAGGAGGAGACCAATGCATGAAGTCTTTCCCATAGCGTATGATATATTTTCACGTGGAATTTAGTTTGATGTCGGCAAGCCGAATACCATCTTCAGACCGTACTGTATTCTATTAAAAATAATCTGTATCTTAACAATATTTAATTAAAGTAACCCGACAACCTTCCAGCCTGGAGTCCATTCAAGTATGAATTATGAAGTACTTTATGCCGTAAGATACAACAATATATGGTTCAAAGTTAGACAATTCCAGTACAGGATCATTCATGAGCTTGTCTCTGCTAGGATTGCTCTTGCTCGTCTTTGATGCGGACGTGATCCGCTAAAACACGAAACATAATTGATCTCAAGATGAAAAGAGGGCTAAAACTAAATATTTAAATATATTTGACCTCATCCCTCAATCAAGGATTAATCTCAGGTCAATGTGATTTAAAATATGTTGTCACAGACTCATAATTCATCTCTCTTTGTATACTCTTCAACCCAGTAATTGTTATCATAACTCAAACTTCATTCAGCTTTTGGGTTCTTGTTTCTTACTGTGTAAAATGATATGGGTAACAAACTTAGACGGTCACAGCATGCCTTGCAGCGTGTGCCAACAGCTTCACATGCAAGGGCACGTGCCAATATGCACACTCCCATATCACAAAAACAATACTCCAGGGAAAATAACTCCACTGATATTCAGAAATTCCACAGCAATACGTTACAAGATGGTAACAGTCAAGCTACAATCTAGTAACTAATAATCTTTGACAACACACAGGATCACAACTTGTGTTCCAAGATCATTAACAAGATGGTCAGACTGCAAACTGAAAGCATCTCCAAGGCGAACAAAGTATTTCCCACGAGCTTCCCAGTCGAAGTCGTCCTTTACTGCACGGGGCAATAACATCTCAGAACAAAGGGAAACCAATGAAGAATTAAAATAAGCATTGGTACAAAGAGGATTCGGTTCTATGACTCGGATCATACATACATCAGAAGACTGCTATTTACAATGGAAACTACAGTATTTTGGACGTAACCCTTGCCTATGGTTTTCCAGGGTATTTATACTGCAATCCACTATCCCAAGAAAAATCTCATAGGATTTCTCTGACTCTGCGATGACGGTAAAAACTGTTGTGGAAATGGAGAGCCAGTAGCGAGATCAAGGGATGCCCCACCAAAAGGATGTCCTGAAGTTTGATGCAATAAATAATTCTCCTCATCGTAATTCGGACCAATATCACCATTATCAAATGGTTGTGGGGTTAGACTCTCCACAAACCCCAAGTCTGAAAGTCTTGTCGATAGATCTTTGAACATATTTCCAGCATCTAAACATTTCGGTTGCTCTTCGATCCTAATATGGTCTGATCTAGCATAACGACCTCTCAAGATCTCTAATCTAGCCATAACAGAGGCCTCCACTTTATCATCCATGTCTGTTTTCTGCTCTTCTGGTTTTTCTTCGCGGCTTTTTACTGCATCATTCTCCACAGGGTAGAAAACATCATTGTGCAAGGTTTGTGTGGTAGTGAATTCGGACGTATTAGAACACGGCATAGACCTCAATCTAGGTGATTTCTTCACTTGCACCGGCTCCTCCTTTTCTGAAATGAAGAGTAGCTTTCAAATAGGATATTTTCCTAGACATCACCTTTAAAATAGGATCATTCTACAAATCATCTTTGATTGTTAAATTATGCATAAAACCACCTTTAAAGGGTTTTTTATTATAATCAACCACCTGCGCCCCGCCCACTTTTCATTTAAGTTTGTCGGTAGTTGACCCCATCTAACCTCATTAAGAATCATATCCCTAATATACTTGGTATTTCACAACTAATCATTACAGCAAAATAAAAAACACTTAAACCAAAAAGTGCCTAGATGGTTGATTGTAACAAAAATCCGTTTAAAAGGTGATTTATGTATAAACTAACAATCAAATGTGGTTTCCATAAAATGACCCTATTTTAAAGATCGTCTGGGAAAATATCCTTCTAAATATTCAAGACAAAAAAATTCAACCGAAAAAAAAGTGATCCGAAAATTCTCGTTTAGTTCCTACTAATTCACCTTTTGTCTGGTTGTCATGATCCTTCATCTCAAGCTTCATTCGGGCAAGTTGAAGTTCATATTTCATCGCACACAGTGCAGCTTCTGTCTGCATCCACAGATTTTTATATAATGCTGCCTGGAAATTATCTTCCTTCTTGGCAAAGATGTCACTCTCCAGATCTTTCACTGCTACCTGCTTTATAGAGTCAAACAAATCGCAAAGCATCATTAACCAGTTGGATGATTTCATATGTTACAGTGAAGCTTATCATTGTTCATACATGACCCAGTCACCTGGAATTCCCTCTCAGTGTCTACAGAAGAATGCTTCCCCACAGTATCATTAGATTTTGCCGCTGAAATCTGAGATCGGGCTCCCCCAGTCTCTCCAGCATGAGAACCGCACTTAGGAATACCCTGAGAGGAAGCCTTCAGTTATAAACAATGTTAAATAATAGTATAAATAGAATTTAATGTTACCCCATGCAAATGTGATGTTTAAATCTTTGTTGGAGCTGAATAGCAAGGAGAACTGTCTCAGTTAGAATACTACGAAGAAAAGAATGTCATGACCATAAAATTAAATCTTCCCACATGCAATATGCACTAGTAAGGTGTTTGTTACATTAAATTTCCCAAACTAGAGAAGCAATTGAAGCTACCATTTCTTTAGAGAAAATTGCAGCTAGCCACCGGAATGAGAAAAGTTCTGCATTCTTCACCCCCCACCCTCGCTCCCAGGGAGGGCGAGGGGGGGTAATGCATTCTCAATCACCCGTATAGAACTGAATCTGTTTGTTTACCCACCTACTTCTGTCTCAACCCACAACCCACAAAGAATACCCCAAACTACCCTTCTAATGCAATCTCATAAGATGTCAGCTTTACAACGAGAAAAAGAACCATCACTATGCAGTTCATAACTTGAAACCCCTCCATCCCTACGCTTCTTTTTAAACGCAAAAGAGGCGAAAAACACACACACAAATACAAAATTCTTAACCCTAATTTTGCCAAGGAAAAAAACTATTTTTTTGACGAAATCGACCATAGAAAAAAAAAACTCTCTGTGCAATCATTTCTCCGAACCCTCTACTCTTCTTCTCAAACACAAAAGAGGAACAAAGAACCCCAAATTTTTACCCTATTTCAGTGAAAAAGTTGAATTTTTTGACGAAATCAACCTTAATCCATGGCGAATTCACCTTGTCCAACCAAATGGGTGCTAGAGAAGGCCGATTTATGTTCGATTATTTTGAAATCAGGTTTACTCCCCATCAATTCCGATCAATTGGGTTAAAGGATTCCCTAGCGATGAAGAAAAGCGAAAAAGAAAGAAGCTCGTCAGAGGGTACTACAACATTGGAGAAAGAAATTGCATCTTCACAATCTATATTGTAAGTACCTAACTTCTTATGAATTTTATCACTATGGAAAAAAATGAAACTAAGACAAATGCTTGTGATAAATAGTGAATGATTGTGACTATTAATTTCTAGCTGTGATAGTTTATGAAAAATGTTGTCCTCCTTGAGCTTTGATTCTAATAGTTGGATTATTTAGCATTTTCTTTGACAAATCTATTTTATGTGACAAGTAGTCTTGCAGTGTAACTTTTTCTTACAATTTATTTCTTTTACCAACTAAACGTGACACATTATTTTGTGCGACTTTTTCCTATTATTTGTAACAATTTCATTGCATCCCTTATTCTAATATTATGTTTGTTTTTCCAATAAGGACGGTCATAATGGATCAAAAGATATAAGAATATTTGCAAAAATTCGAGATTGTTGTGATTTTATGGAAGAAAATAGTTCCACATATAAGGCAAGAACGGGTCTTGAAATTTCAAAAACTATGCTAGTTTTGAAGCAATTACTATTGAAAAAAGTCTCGCTTTTGGTCGTTTAAGCGCTTTGCACAGCGGAAGCGGCTCCTCACCGCTACTCTTTTATCAAAAGCGGCCAATGAAAGCGGATGTGGTGTTTTTTTTCTCCAAAAAAACAACAGAAAGCTCGTAAAAAGCATTGTTAAGCCATATTGTAAGTGCTTAAAAAGTGCTTAAAAACTAAATACATGTTCATATTATACTCGACCAAAACGCGAACCTAACCCATGTTCTTAAGTAAAACATTTAGCTTCTCTTTCATCTCCGACTATGTGACTTGAGACAAAAATAAACCCTAACCCTACCTCCTAACCTAGTTGTCTTGTCTACTGCCTCCGACCAACTCCGTCACCTCCCGCAACTAAAGCTACATCTAAATCCTTCTCCAGCAAGCTCCGCTTCACAGTTTCAATCACTATCACGACATCACCTTCTCTTAAACTCCTCATTGAAGCTCACCATCATCATCTCCAATAGAAGCTCATCATCATCTCCATCTCCGTCGAAACTCGTCCGCCTACTTCTCCAGTCCAATTCTACTCTACCTAGCGCTTTGACTGTTTTTTGCCACTAAAGACCTAAAAAAACTAATCGATGTCTCACCACTTCACTCTGCTTTCAACTTTCCACAACCTAAGGGGGAATTGCCCCGAATCTGCTAACAATTCAGTTACTTATGGATCATCTTGATCTGGTGACCGAAAAATTCTTTTCCCAAGATAGATAGGGGAAAACTGACATATACCTTCAATAAGGAATGAGTACAAAAGCACACTAGATACAAGGACATAGGGAAAAAGCATAAACCCAATCGGGATAGAATTAACATGGTTTAGAGCAGTGTTATCGAGGCGCAAGGCACAATGCGAGGCGCAAAGACTCCTTACGCACACCATGCACAAGGCGCACAACAATGCGCGCACCTCACTGAATTGAGGTGCACACAAACAAATATGTTTCAACATAAGACAAACAAGCATATAAACAACATATTTATAATTTATCATATAAAAAGACTAAGAAATATAATTTCACCAACTAAATCACGAAAGAGTTTTAATTAGCATGCATAACATAGTGAAGTTCATTAGTTTCCACAAATCACAATGCAAGATAATCTCGAACATAAGAAAAAGTCTACGAAACAAAACAAGCAAGTAACAAATAAGAAATATGTATTTTTATTTAAAATATGATATATATTTTTAAGTAACAATTAAATGATTAACAAACATGACTGTTCATAATTTTTTAGTTAGCATTCATAATTACTATTTGTTAGTTAGCATGAAAAGATGAAGAATGGATGTAACAATTATATATTTACATGTTCATAATTTTCTAGTTAGCATGCTAATTAAAAAAATTACAATTAGCAAACAAGTAAACTAAATTGCTAATTATTGTTTTTTTTATAGGTTAAACATGAAAAGATAGAGAAATGGATTAGCAACTAGCAAAAAAGTGTCCAATGTCCATTACATGATGTAAATATGTAATTATGTAAATTATTTTAAAAAGAAAAAACAGAAGAAAAACAAAAGAAAAGAACTAGAGAAACAAAAAAAATCTGATTTCTCTAGAGATAGAAGGCGGCGGCGACGTACAGGGTCATCGGTCGTTGTCGTCGTCAGTCGACTCGCTGGGGTTAGGGAGGAAGCAGGCGACAAGAGAGAGAGGAAGCGGGCACATGAGAGAGGAGAGAGAGAGAGGATGACGGATTTTGAAACCTTAAAATCAAAACCCATTCATTTTACAAATCGGGTTTATGAAATCAACGGGTTTCATACCTAAAACCCATCTCATTTTACAAAACAGGCTGGGGCTCACGATGCGATGCGCCCAACGCATGTGCCAAGTGCGCACCTCGACGCAGGTGCCAAGTGCACACGAGGTGCACGCGAGGCGCACGCCTCGTGTGCGTGCAACGTCCCGCCTCTGGTGCGGGACGCATTTGTCCCAGTTCGCAGCGCCCCACGCTTGTGGCGCGCCCGGGACGTGCGCCTCGATAACAGTGGTTTAGAGTAACTACTTTGACAATGACCAATAAAAGCGGTACAAGAGTGGACAACTATATGTGAAAGCATTAAAGCGGAAACTAGTTCAAAAAGTATGTTAAGTACCGAAGCATTACAACCTTACATGTAATCTTACTATTTTGTCTTGCACCTTTAAGAAATACATGTTGCTTTTACACTTCATTTGTGACATTTAAGAGTTAGTTGTGATTTGTTACAACTGTTTGATACTTATGATGTCTATTTGTTATAGACATAGTCACGTCACTTCGAACATGGTTGAATCTTTCAACAATTGGATTTGTGAGGCAATAATGTCATTTGTAATATTGTAAACCACACTCATTTACAAATTATGGAAAGGATGAAAACTCATCGTAAGCTAGCAACCAAATAAAATAAGGATGAAAACTCATCGTGAAATAGCAACCAAATAAAATAGCTACTTATGCCCTGAATCGAAAAAATGTTATGCAATCGACATCTAAAAATTTTGAGATATTATCTCATAAGTCGGTACAAGTTGACCGCAGCTGAAAAACATGCACATGTTATGTATAGGACATGTAATGCATATGCTGCTATTAACTATTGTTGTCCATTTCTATACGAATTATGTTGATTGTTGTCAAATTAGGTACTCTAAATCATGTTATTGCTATCATAATTGAGTTTTAAATTTTTCTCCATGTCCTTGAATCTGTGCTTTTGCACCCATATTATCGAAGTCATATACTTGTTTTTTCTCTATCTGCCTACCTTTAAAAAATAATTTTTTGGTTGGCAAATCAAGATGACCATGAATAATTGAATCGTTGACCGATCCATGGCGATTACTACAAAGCTAACATAGTTCTTGAAATTTCAAGACCCATAGGCATCCCTTTTTCTTGCCTCATATGTAGGACTATTTCTTCCATAACATTACAATAGCATCAAATGTTCGTAGATATTCTTATATCTCTTGATACATTATGATCGTCCTTGCTAGAAAAAACAAAGATAACATTCAAATAATGGATGCAACAAAATCATGACAAATAATAGGAAAGAATCACATAATAAATATAGGTGACATTTATGTAGTAAAAGTAGTAAATTACAAAAAATCACACAAGTCTAAATGTCACAAAAAATAGATTGTCACAAAAAATGCTATGTTTTAATTCAACTATGTTTTAATTCAACTATCAGAATCAAAGCGCAAAGAGGCAAACACATTTCATAATTGTCACAACTAAAATTTAAAGGTCACAACCATTCACTATTTATCACAATAATTTATTAAAGTTGCATTTTTTGCATAGTGATAAATTTCGTACAAAATATATATGTTACGAAATAAATTGTGGAGAGGTAATTTCTTTCTTCAAAGTCGTATTACTCTATGCCCCGCTTCTTTCTTTCCTGCTTTTCCTCGTCAACAGAGAATCCTTCAACATCAATTGATTAAAATCGCAGTGTGAACCTGATTTCAACATGAATTAGAGTTGGTTTCGTAAAACTTTTGATATTTTTGC